CAACGTTGGAGGCGCGTTCGGAACGGGAAACGGCGCGGTGAGTCGCGGTCTAACGATAGCCAGCGGCTCCCCGTCACGGAATCGCTCGTCCGTCGGCTCGACGACCTCCCAGGGGCGACGTTCCTATCAAGCCGGCGAGAGCGTGTCGAATCACACGGAGAGCGGTCCAAACGCGCCGCTTCTCGTACCCGCGACACCGCCGCCGCGAGTCTAACTCGCGGTTCCTCTACGTTCACGCAGTGCTCCTCGTCCGTAACGTAAATCTTTATCGCCGTGCAGTTTCGCGTAGAATAATAGGCAACGAAGCAACTTGCATCGATCGGTGCACGCACCCGGTCGAAATTTGGGTCCACACCTTCGAAGTAAAAGAATCGAAAGCATCTACCGAGGGCCGGTGCTTTCGACAGAGAAATAGAGGAATGTTCAGAAAGCGAGACGCACGCCGTGAAACGAATCATTTTTTGCGCCTGCGCGAAAATCGATCGAAAAGCCAGTTCGGAGAACGGAGACGACGAAGGGGCGTTTTCGAGAAGCCCAAGACCAATCGCAAATCGATCGAGAAACGTCACGTTGCTGCGCGCCCCTCTCAACCAGTACCACCGCTGCTCGATTTTTCGATCGAAACGCACCCCCTCGGAACGCGAGAACACGCGCGTCTAAATCAAGTTCCATAGCGTAACGAATGATCGAAGTGGAGAGGAACAGTAAGAAGGACAGGCGGAACGTTACGCGTTCTCGCGCGTACCCGTCTTTCCATCTGCTGCAACAGATTACACACACACACACACACACACACACACACACACACACGCGCGTAAACAGGCACACTGGCGCATATGCATATACACATGAACATATTTATGAAGAAGCGAAAGTTTAGATATCGGTGTAAAAATGAAAGAAGCAACCAGAGGCTGGACCTCGTCCGAAAGTCAGTCGCGAAACGATCGAGGAATCCTCGCTACGCGCAGTTTGGTCGCGTAGCGGCTGACGTGCGTGCAGACGCGCGTCCATTGTCCGTTTGTATGCGCGCTCTCACGCGATTTAAAGAAAGTAGGAAAAATTGCGCTCCAACGCAACCAGCACTACCCGTCTTAAGTAATCGAATTTATCTCACCCCTCACCCTCGCCTAACCTCTCTCTCCCATCCTCTGTCTTTATTCACGTCACAACCTCTTTTCGAACGATGTAACGATCGATATTCGGAAAATAAAGTTTCATCGTTTCCATAGATACACCAAAGATACAGAATCTAGAGTACGGCGTTCTCGAATATCCATTCGAGGTAGGAGCTGACTCGTGTGTATATTCCAGGGCGTCCTGGCTCGCCGCACCGAATCCCCCAAGACACTATCCCGATGTTCACCCATCTGCCGTTTCCGAGCTGATGTAACAGCGGTCCACCCGAGTCACCCTGCACGAGGAACGACGAAAGAGGAGTTGGCCTAGTTTTCGCCGATATCTCGTCGTCTTACCTGACAAGAGTCGCGTCCACCTTCGTAGCCGCCGGCGCACATAGCGGTGTCGGAAATTCGTTGCACGAAGCTTCGTACGCACTTGTCCTGTGGCCATACAGGAACGTCTACTTCCATCAACACCGCACTCACGGGACCTCCGTAGTACTTGGTACCCCAACCTGAAAATTCCACCGAACCGTCTATTATAGTCCGTCGAGTTGGAACGTTCGGTCCAACGGAACGATTACCAACCCGTTACCACCGCGCTCTTGTTCGCGAACGTCTGACCTATCGGTGGCAAGCACACGGGCCAGATGTAACTATCGAAAATGGTCGGTCGATGCAGTTTGACTAACGCTACGTCATTTTCGTACGTGGAGTAATCGAAGTACGGGTGAGTCAAAATTTCCGACACGGCGAAATCCAAAGATCTGCTCTCCTCCGCCGACTCGAAATCGTATTCACCGAGCCTGACTTTGATGTCCCGTGGCTGAAACCTAGCGATCGAGAGCAAACGAGAAGCTTAGCTCGTAGGACGTTACACACGCACGCTCTACGTATACCTGAACACGCAATGCGCGGCTGTTAATACGTGTCTGTCGGTGACAAGCACGCCGCCACAGTACTGGATCTGATCCTTTCTTAGAATAGCCGCCATCCAGGGCCATTCGGTGGGATCGGCCGGTCTACCGCCCACCAATTTGCCTCGACTTTTCCACGTTGTTCCGCAACCCCTTGGTCTTTCCGGGTTTCGAGACCCATTCGCCGACGCCTCGCTCTCCTCCTCCGTCCAAATGATTCTGCTCCCGTTACCGGGGAGGGCCACCTCCTTCTCCTTCGAAACTAGAAATAAACCAGTCAGGTAGATGGTCCGTCGTCGATGCGTTTCCCCACCGATGTCGACGTTACGTACTAGCTATCAGCGGAAGAGTTTCGGCCAAGCTTTCTTCGCCCACGGATTTTTCTCGTACTTTGCCCTGATGGTTCGCGCAACAAATGCCGACGTATCTGTTATTCGGTTATCGTTTGTTAGTTTCGATTCTTCTTCAAGTAGTCGGCGCGTACTTACGTTTGCTCGATAGCGCACGAGTGGTTAATCGCGAGCGCAAAATCCGATCCGTACTCGTGGCCGAAGCACTTGCTGAAGTACTCGCAGCGTCCCAATTCGTTGTCCAATCCCACGCACTTTCCCAACCTTCCGTGATCCTGGGACGCATTTCTTTCCGAACCTATCTCGTACAGAGAGGATGCCACGAATAGATAATTACATAGTACATCGATAAACGTTTCCGTCTCCGTAATCGTATATAACCGTTTATATGTATACGGTTACCGTTTCAAAAAGGGAAGTGTTCGTTTTTCTTTTCGAGCGCGTTTATTTTTCGGCTTCGATTCGTCTAGATAACGACCGTAGAAATTCCAAGGAAAGGGACATGTGCAGAACTCTGGTAAAGACAAAGGAGGCTACTTACTCGTACCGTTACCAGCACCGTTATAAAAAGATTCGGCGAGCCATGGTGCACGGAAGAAGAACCAGAGAAGAAACGTTTCACGGACGGTCGTCGTTCGCGGCCACATGTTACAAACTATCGTACAAACGCCTCCCGAGCCTCCTAAGAATCGATCGGTGGCCAGAGAACTGGTTGAATCGTGGCTGGGGGAACGCTGGTTTATATACGCCTGCATGCAGCCCCGAGATGCAACCCGTCCTACATCTCCGTCTGTTCGTTGCAGCTACGTAGGTAACGCAGGAACGCAACGGACGACCGTACCGACCGAGGAACAAGTTCCCCGCCGCGTCGCTAGATCGAACCGTACCGATCCGAGTCTCTCGATCGACGCGGTCGCTTCTGCGAAAGAAAGGAAAACGGGCGGCCGAGGGCAGGGGTAAGGCGCGTAAAGAGAAGGTGAGAAGAGCGCGAGATCGAGGACAAGCCAGGGGCATTTCCATTTAAGGCACCCCGCGTGCAATTTCTTGCTCCTCTCGGCGCCACTTTGACACGCATATTCGCGAGGAAGGAGGGGAGGTTCTCCTCGAGGATGTCGAGGCGGAGGCGAAGGCGAAGGCGAGGGCGATGCAACCTCTGAAACGCTTGCGTACAATTTCACTCGTTTATTCTCATTTTATCCCGACACATCTTTCGAATTCCGAGCGGAACGGTGGATCGTCGAGCGTCCTTTCTTCGCCGTTTCTTCGGCATTTACGCGGCGTCGTTTATCGGAACAGGTTTAGCATTGGGATCCTTCAGATCCAACGTGTAGCCGTGCACCTTGGAGCTGTTGGTAGTGGGATCGTAAATTCTTTCGACGTGTCGAAGAGTGTCGCCTACGATTTTGTCCGTGGTCTCGCGCACGTACGGTTTTCCGTCCGACGTGCGACCAGATTGAACGATCTTGGTCCCGTCGTTGCTCGATAAAATCACGTTGTTGCTTCCGACAGCTTGCACGGTAGCTGGTCTAGCGGTAGCTGGAACAATTTCGATAAAAAAGGTCAGAGCGAAACGATAGTCGGCGGCGGGTGTAGCAGTGATTAGAGAAAAAAGCGTATTCGATCTCTCGCCTTGAGAAGCCGAGAGAGAAAGAGAGATCGAACGGCTCTCTCGGTACTGGAATAGTGAAAGGGACGTTTACGCGGTGTAAACGACGTAACTGTCGAGCAGCCTGTACGAATAGTCTCGTACCTAATTCTTCCTTGAGGTTCTTCGTCATTTCGCGAACCTGCTCCAAGTTGCCCTGGACCGTTTCCTGTATCCGCTCGTTCAGCTGCTGCACGTTCTGCTGGATGTTTCTGTTCAGCGCGTCGATGTTCGCGGACAAGCCGTCCAGCCAATCCGTTCCCACGAACACCTGTCCATCGGAGCCGCTGCCAATCGAAACGCATACGTTACGCGCAAAACCAGCTTCCGGAACCGGCCGCATGTCGATCCACTAACCTGCACAACAACGCTCCGGCGATCATCGCCACGACCATTCGTCCCGTCATTCTTGCTCCTCGGTCTTTTATCTCGTCCGAAACAGCGTTAGGATAGCGAAATAGCTAGGACAGACGGGAGAATTGGCGAGAAATACCGGCGTGACTGTGAAACGCGCAATACTAGTCGGTTTTCCCCCTTCGAATCTCGCACGTCCACTTTTCATTCTCCCTCTTTCCGCGTTTGCGAACGTGGAATCTCGGTATTGGCGAGGAACTGCGATAACGTAACAGTTCCGACCGACAATCTCCTCGGATTACGCGGCACTCGATAACGTAAACGTTTCGAATCTAGAACTAGGAGGATAGGGCTTTCTCTCCTTTTGAATCGGCGCGCGATCGTCGAAAAGTGACGGGGCAGAAACTGGTTTCGGATTCGGATTACGCAGCCGAAACCGTTCCCGCGTACTACGCTCTGGGCTACGCATCGACCCCCCACGCGACCACTCCTACGGTAAACGCGCTTCTTCCCGTCCTTGAACCCTCTTCTCCTCCCTCCCTTCTGCCCCACCTTCGTTTTCTTTCTTCCCCGTCCGTGTATATATTTTCACCGCCAACTTGCTCGAGCAGGTAGCAATCGTAAACGGGTCTGCTCCTCCTAGCAGCGACCCGAGAAAGAGGTGGTTTGATCGCGAGGGTGATCGACCTTGGCCGATTCGGCCCTGGGATAGGGGCTGGCCGTCCTTTGTCAAGGATGACGGTTTCGAGATGGGATTCCTTCTTTCAACTACATAAGTACTTACTTAATATAGCTTTTCGAACAGCGTCCAAGAGGAGTTTGAAAAAAGCGCGCGCGAGTCGACGGGTAGCCATCTGGGGAGGATCGAGGGAAGCTGCAAAGTGGTCTTTCCACTAGCGGCCGCGATCCCTGGCAGGGTGGGGAGCAAGTTGGACGGATCGGTGGCTGCTCAGTACACTCGCGACTCGCGATAGTCGAGTGCGTTACGCGTTTCACGCTCGGATCGAACGCAGACTCGGATCTCGTCGCGGTGAGCGGTCGATGTATCCGGAAGACGCGTTCAGTAGTTGGATTTGCCTCGGCGATCTGGAGGTTCTCGGTGGAAATTAAAGGACTAGGACGGAGGATGCGGAGAAAAGTGGAAAGGGAAACGGTAAAATCCGTGGATACGTGATCGATCGGCTTCCCTCGGAACCCGTAAGTACCGCTCCGAGTTTAACGAGCGCTTTACAACCGACACGAGTGTGTGTACGACAAACGTGTCACGAGCTAATCGTCCCGGTTAACGGCGCATCTCCATTCTACTGTTTATTCTACTTTCCTCCGCCCCGTTAGGGATAGGAGGAAGCTAGAATCACGAGAGAAAAGTTTGATCGAAGCCAGCACACTAACCAGAAGTCGTTCCGTTCCGTTCCGTTTGTCCACGGCATGAACTATTTATCGAAGCTGCCAGTTTTTCGGGATATCTTCTCTGGTCTGGAACGGAGAGAAAAGCAAAGCAAAGCCCTTTAGCAGGTATTTGAAGGATCGTTGCGCCGGGGACGCCGGGGACGCCGGGGACGCCGGGGACCGTTTCGTTTCTCCCGGTCACGTACGATGCGAAACGTGTTCCAGCATCGGACTGTAGCGAAGCAAAGCGTAAAAAGTATGGGAAAACGAGAAAGAGGATCCTTGGAAAGGATCTCGAGGGTCCGTTCCCACTCCTTTTGGACAGTTCAAGCCCGAGCTCGCGTACGGTCCGAAACAACGATCCGTATAAGGAGCTGGCCTACTCTACCTCTTCTCTCCTGGTTCGCTCGGCGAGTGCGTTCGCATGATCGGCATGGTCCGCGCGCGAGATCTCACTTTGCTCCGTTCGTCGTTTGGCACCGATCGTAGAGATCGTAGAGACCGGTAAATTGCGATTCGCGTCGCGGACGTAGGCTCCGCGTTCCATGCACGCGCGAAATCGCACACTTTCTCGCCTGCGGCAAGGCAACCTGAACGCGTTACCTTGCCGCTGCGTCTAACTAACTAACTAACAGAGCGTCGCGTCGTTTCGCCTTGGTTGGAAAAATTCTGCTTGGACGCGAGTCGATCGTGCAACGGCAGAGCAGCAGCCGAAAGATCATGCGCTCGCGTGAATGCCTTCTTTGTCCAGCACACACGCGTTCCAGCAGCCTCGTCGAGTAGCGAGCTTCGAGCCAGCGTCGTCGTATCGTCCGACGAGCGCGATAACCGCGCGCCTCCTACGTACGCGACCTTTCGAAAAATTCGATCGGAGATTTCCCGATAAATCGTGACTCGACTCGACACGAATCGAGCCGAGGAAACGATTACAGAGCGTGGACGTTCGTGGACGTTCGTGGACGGTGTACGGTGTACGGCTAGTGCGTGGCGTGGAAATCCTCGATAATCGACGATAAACTGCAAGGTACGTATGTACACGTAGGGGAATGGAGCGCGCGCGAGCCCAGACAGGTTGACGCCTCTCCTCTTATCGACCAGGAGACTTCTCCAGCTGTGTTTTCGGCGGTTTTCTCTCCTTTTCCCGTGGTACGTGCTCTTTCGCAGGCATTCGCGCGCTTCCTCCCCTACGATCGTAACTGCAAGCGTAACCGTAGAGGTCGAGCAGATAGAGATGCCCCCTTGCTATCGGTGACGAGCTCCGCAGCGAACGACCGATCGACGAACCACCTGTTTCTTTCGAATCTCCTCGAGTCGTCGACCACCGCGTTACCATGTTTGGCGACCCGCTCGCCTACCACCTCGAGATACATCGCGTCCAAGTTAACGCGAACACCCCTTTCGCCAGCTTCTATCCGAAACAGAGATGGTTAGATGGGAGGAGGGAGCGCGAGGGAGCGCGAGGGAGCGAGCCACGAGAGAGCCACACCCTGTCCCGAGGAGAACCGCTGGAAAATCGCCTTCCTCGTCGGTGATTTTCGAATTTTTCCTCGGAAAGAAAGACACGAGAATCGAAGCTGAGCCTCTAATCTCGTAGGAACTCGAGCGAGTTTATCGTTCCCGACCCTTATCTCTTAAGGTAATCGGAAGAAAAGCGACGACGTCTCTGCCGCGATAGGAAACCGCGCACCATTCCCGCTGGCTAACAGTATCTACCTACATATATACTACTACTCTTCATTCCTATATGCACGTTGTCTCTGTCCCTCCTCTCTCGCTTTCGCTTCGTTTTTCTTCCTGGAAGGAGATTCCTATATGCACGTTGTCTCTGTCCCTCCTCTCTCGCTTTCGCTTCGTTTTTCTTCCTGGAAGAAGAAGAAGGAGAAGAAGAAGAAGAAGAAGAAGAAGAAGAAGTACGCCTCTCTCGTACACACCTACGCCTCGGTTCGATACTTCCCTTATCTCTTCTGCGCGACGATTAAAGCGAACGCGCGCTCGTTTATTTATCCGGCACCGGCTATCTGCGGTGTCGCGAGCAAACAAAAAATACCGAGCCGTTCGGTGGGGGTATCGTCGCCGAGACGAGGTTTAGAGAAGGTTGCCGATTTATCGCGTACGGGTAACCGTTTCTCTTCCAATCGAGACACGCTCGACACGCTCGACACGTTCCGTGTACATATACGCGTGTTCGCGACGAATACGGTAAACCGTCTTCTCGTTGGCCTTATTCGCGACGGGATGTCACGGAGCACCGTTTCGGAGCGCAACCAACATCCCTCTTTCCGAGGAAAAGGAGGAAAAGACGGAGAGAAGAGCAGAGGCGAGCGTGATATTTATATTCCAACTATCCTTTTTAGAGTTTCGGGACCACCGTGGTGTTCGTGTATTATCGTGGCTGCGCACGAAGCCCTTTTAAAAAGTTCACCCTACCGAGACCACCGCAACGGCCGCCGGAATATTCGGAACCTCCGAATATCTTGGCGGTTCGATCGTTCCACGCGCTTCTCCGATCCTTGCAACAGTTGGAGAAATAGACGCGACGCTTCTCCCCCGTGTCTGTCACGCTCCGCTTCGAGTCCTCCTTTATCCCGGTATCTATTCATAGAGGAGCAAAGCGAGCTGTCACCGTGACACGTCGCGCTCGCTGAACTTGAAGAGAAAGAGCCGGATCGATCGGGAGTAAACGCGATCCTGCCGCAAAGACGTAGGCGAGGTCAGCGCTCCCGGCTGTCGTCCTGCTCCTCTGCTCTTCCTCCGGCGCGGCCGCTCATCCCCCCGTTTTTGCTCCTAGGTAAGAAACGTGCAGAACCAGCAAGAGGACAGAACGCGCGACGACCGGAATGGACCGGTGGCCGGTGCGCCTCGCGTTCCTCGGGGCGCTCGTCGCCAGCATTCGCGCCGTCGACGACTTTCGAGGCATCTCCTACGAAGGTAAGACTCTCGTCGTCCAGTCAGATAAGATTTCGCAGGCT